TAAAATGTAATCCATATTGAAGTCTTTGATCTTCTGCAACAAGTGCTTCAAGACCTCCTCACTATTAGAAAGCAGAATTGTGTCATCTGCATAACACAGGATATTGTGAGTCTTCCTTCAATCCGGACATATCACATTCTTCTTCGTAAGACCAGCTTCTCAAATGATTCATTCAACATACAGATTGAATAGATGTGGAGAAAGGATACAGCCCTGAGACACCTTTCTTAACATTAAGTAGTGTTCCTTGCTCTGTTCAGACAACTTCCTGGTCCAGGTATAGGTTTCACAGGAGTACAATTAAGTTCTGGGACTTCTATCCTTCTCAATGTCAGCCATAACTTGTTATGAGCCACACAGTCAAATGCCTTTATATAGACCATAAAAAACAAATAGACACTCTTCTGATATTCTCTGCTTTCAGCCAGGATCCATCTGACATCAGCAATGATACTGGGTGCCGTGGCCTCTTCTAAATCCAGCTTGAACTGGCAGTTTTCTGTGTACTGTCCCAGCTGTTTTTAGATGGTATTCAGCAATATTTTGCTTGCATGTGATAGTAATGATCTGTTCCACAATTTCTACATTCTGTTGGATACTTTTTCTTGGGACCAGGAACAAATATGGATCTCTTTCATCAGTCGGCCAGGCAGCTGTCCTCCAAATTTCCTGGAGTGGACTGGTGAGCATGTCCAGGGCTGCATCTGGTAGTTGAGTCGTGGCAATTGGTGGCATCCTGTCCATTCCTGGGGCCTTTTTTTTTCTTGCCAGTGTCTTCAATACAGCTGGAACTTGTTCCTTCATTATCATTGGCTCTTGATACTGTTTCCTGAAATATTTCCGTGTCGACCAGTTCTTTTTGGTACATTGATGCTGTGTGTTCCTTCCGTTTCCTCCCGATGCCTCCTGGGTCATCACAATTCTGCCAGTATCACCTCCTAATTCTGAGCTGGAGGCTTGAACTTGTCTCTCAGCCAGAGAAACACTGCACAAGACTTCCCTTGACTCCCCAAATCCAGCTCTCTGCGTGGCCCCTTATAATCCTTTGCTGCCTTCTCCGGTTGCCCTTTGAAGTCTTTTGTTCAGCTCTTTTTCTTCAGCATCTCTTCCTTTTGTTTTGGTTTATTTTTTTAACTCAATTTTCTACCAAAAAAAGTTGAAAATTTTTGAAAAGTTACCGGAATGTTGCTGTAAAATGGTTGGGGTTCTTTTCTTTGATTCCCCCTCCAAGCCTGAATCGATCTTCTGCAGGATCAGCTACTTTCATTGTGTAGAACACATGACTTGAGGCTCTCAGGTCAACTTTTTTCAAGCAAAAATCCCTGTGTAGACAGAGCCAGTGTCTTTTATGTGATGGTATTAATTTTCAAAGCATTTCCAGTATATAAACAAAGGGGGGAAATAAAATACCATGTTTGCCTGCTGATTGTTTTGGCTTCATGATGTTCTCGTGAAGTTTTCAGCATCTCCTCTTACAGCCATGTAGGTGTTTTCCCTCCCTCATTCTCCTCTTTCTTTGAAATGACCTTTGCTCTCTTCATGGGTGATAACCTTGATGACATCTCACAACTCATCTGGTCTTCAGTCATTAGTGTTCGATACCTCACACCTATTCTTAACATTTTTTTAAAAAAAGTAAATCTCAAGATGTATATGAAGCAATTGAAAATACCATGGCTTGGATCAGGCACACCTTAATCTTTAAAGTGATACCCTTGCTCTTTAAAACTTTAGATAGCTTTCTACGAAGATGGCGCCGAAAGTGAAGAAGGAATCCCTGGCCCCTCCCAAAACCGAAGCCAAAGCAAAGGCATTGAAGGCCAAGAAGGCGTCCTGAAGGGCGTCCACAGCCAAAAAAAAAGAAGATCCGCACGTCACCCACGTTCTGGCGGCCTAAGACGCTGAGACTCCGACGGCAGCCCAAATACCCCTGGAAGAGTGCTCCCAGGAGAAACAAGCTTGACCACTATGCCATCATCAAATTTCCCCTGACCACTGAGTCAGCCATGAAGAAGATAGAAGATAACAACACACTTGTGTTCATTGTGGATGTCAAGGCCAATAAGCACCAAATTAAACAAGCTGTAAAGAAGCTCTATGACATTGATGTGGCTAAGGTCAACACTTTGATTAGGCCTGATGGAGAGAAGAAGGCCTGTGTTCGACTTGCTCCTGATTATGATGCTTTGGATGTTGCCAACAAAATTGGGATCATCTAAACTGAGTCCAGCGGGCTAATTCTAAATGTAATAAATTTTTCTCACAAAAAAAAAACAACAACTTTAGATAGATGCTTGGTAGCCAGTTTTTCCCAATGCAGCAACATGTGTTTTGATTGCTGTTACCATGGATGTCACTATGGATGCAATTAAAAATGGAATCATGGACAACTTCAGTCTTTTCTCCGTCTATCATGATGCTGCCTAGCAGTCCAGTGGTGAGGATCTTTATTTTCTTGATGTCGAAATGTAATCCATATTGAAGGCTGCAGTCTTCGATCTTCTGCAGCAAGTGCTTCAAATCCTTCTCACTTTAAGCAAGCAAGTTTGGAACATTTGCATAATGCAGGTTGTTGATGAATCTTCCTCCAATCCTGATGGCACATTCTTCTCCAGAGATCAGCTTCTCCAATGATTTTCTCAGCATACAGAGTGGATAGGTATGGAGAGAGGAGATAGCCCTGACCCACCCTGTCCTGGTTTTAAACTGCGTTGTGTACATCTGTCCCAGGGGATGCCCCAGGCTCTGGTCTGAATGGAGAGAGTGCTGGCCAAGACTTGTGCTCCCCACCCAAAGGCACAAAATCGAGCAGCTGGTCTGCAAAGGGAAGATGGGGAGTCTCTGAAGCGCCCCGGCAGGTGAGCTGTGAGTCAGCTCCACTGGGTGGTATACACTCACCAGCAGATCTTCACAGGAGCCGGGCAGCTGGGCTCTGCTGTAGGGCTCCTGGTGAGTTCAGCCACAGCTCTGGCGGTGGTCAGCTGAGCACTGAGCCCCTGCACCGCCAGGGATCCGTGCACTGCCCTGCTTAGGTCACCTCATGAGACAGCGCCTAGATTGTGCTCAGCCGTGACCTCCGCCATGGTCATTGAGGGTTTGGTTCAGGATCACTGAGAGGACCTTGGGGGCTGCTCATCCGGTCCCTCCTGTACAGATGGACAAACGGAGGTCAGACAGCTTGACCACAGCAGGGCTGGGCGCACCCCTCCACCTTGTCTCTAGATGTGGCATTGTGGTCACCAGAGGTCAGGATGAAGGTCCACCCTGACCCACTGGGGCCATAGGCCTCTTTGGAGAGGAGGAGGGCCACTCTGGCCCGGAGAAGGAGGGAGGGAGGGACTGGGATACCTCTGAATGGAAGGACAGAGGGACAGCAGACCTAAGGGCAGGCCCCGCATGTGCGGCTCTGTGCCCTGGGCAGACCACGGGCCTCTTGGAGCCTCTGGTTCTATGACCGGAAGCCGCTGCACTGGAGACCAGGATCTGCAGCTCTGAGCTCAGCCATCCGGCTGTGAGCATGGGAGCCAAGCAGCGGCCGGAGCCCAGGCCTCACTCCATCCTTTACTCTATAGGGGCGGCCCCAGGACCCTGGCCGCAGGTGGCTGTGAAGCTGCCCCTGAGCCTTCACCTGCAGACCCTGAGCATCCCGGGCTGGAACTACAGCTCCAACCACAGCGAGCACCTGCAGAGGCTACGGGCAGGTGAGGCAGGTGTGCGGGGGCTCCACACTAGGGCTCCAGACCACCGACCGCAGCTCGGCAAGGCTCCTTGGCCTTCTGTGACCAAGGGGCATTGGTGACACCAGTGTCCCACACCAGTGTCTGCATCTGACTGCTTCGGACAGCCACATTCACTCACTGCTTGGCGGCCAGAGCCCAGAGGCAGCGTCCAGCTGGGGCTCCTTCCTCGTCTCTGGCCTCCGCTGGTGTCTACCCCTGGACTCGCTTGCATCTCTGTCTGTCTTGCCAGACTCTTTCCTTCTCCGCCCATTTTCTGCTGCCCTCTTTGGAAGGACACCCCTCACTCTGATGTGACCTCGTATGAGTATAGCTGACCGCATCTGCAAAGATTGTCCCCCAAGGTCACTGGCCAGAGGCGGGCTCCCAGACCAGTGGCCATGCCCTGTCCCCCAGAGTCCCCTCAGCCCTGCCTGCCCCAGGCACTTCTTGACTGCTGCTGAGCTCCTTCCGTAAGGGAAGCAAGGCCCCAGGTCCATACGCTCTCAGCCTGGAGGCCATCGGCAGGGAGCTGTGCTCACAGGGACCCCCTGGGGCATTGGGGTGACCTTTTTGGAGGAGATACCCATGACCTGCCTCAAAACCTTTTTGGCTAGCCTGCTTATCTAGACTGGGTGGCTTGGAGCAGGCTGACGGGGTATAGGTATCTGGGGTTCAACACTCCTCCTGAGGCCAGACACCCCTCTCTTCTGCACTGCCACAAGCCCTGGTGTGGCACTTGTCCGCTGAGGGCTGTGGCCAGCCACTAGGTGACAAAGACGTGCAGTGGGGTCTAGTGTGGCCCTTCCCTGTCCTCTCTCCCCACAGGCCCCCGAGAGAAGGTGGACGCTGACCTGGGTCGGGTGATGCTGCGGCTGTACCACCTGTATGAGGCCGGGGAGGACCCTGTCTTGTCACAGCCCGTGCTCGTGGACCTGCAGGTACAGCTCTGCACCCAGTGCTCCCAGGTCCCAAAGCTCACAGATGCAGGAGACGGACTGCTTTCTTTTACAAGGGGGAGAGGGTCCCCGTCTTAGGCCAGCTGGTCCCCTCTCCCTGGAGTGGAGGGACCCCATCATTAGGACGGCTCGTCCCTCCTCCTGGAAAGAGGACCCCCCCATCAGAGACACCTGGCCCCCACTGATATGAAGGGCCCCTCTTTCTGGTGTAGGGGTGCCCTCACACTATCAGGCAGGGAAGGCTTGGGTACCTGTGATGGAAACCCCGCCCTGCAGTGCTCTGAGCAGAGATCCTGAGTCTCAGGGCGGGTGACACCATCCTTGCAGGCCAGTCTCCTGCTTGTCCCCTCCGGCCATCCTCGTCCTGTCACAAGTGTGCGGGTGTGGGGGCGGCAGCTGTGGGGCACTCGTGTTGTCACGGGCCCCACCTCATGGTCCTGTGTTTCCCCGTCCCGGTGGGTGCTGCGTCCTCAGCTTGACAATGAATGTGGGGTGCTCAGAGAAGGCTCCCAGCGGCCCCCTCGGTCAGCACACGCAGCCCCTCAGCCTCAGTCTCCCCACTCCAGCCAGCCTTGCAGCTCGCTGGGAGCCTCCGTCATCCTTCCTGCTGCTCTCATGCCAGCCCCTCCCCTGCTGCCTGCAGGCTGTGCTGAGTGGCCTGGGGACAGTGGTGGCCGTGGAGGAACGCTCGCTCACAGGGACCTGGGACGTGCGTGAGCTACACCGCTGGACCTGGAAGAGGAGGACCCACCATCCACACAGAGGTAGGAGCCTGCGGGGTCCCTCAGAGTGAGAAGCCCTGCTCAGCCCTGTGGGTATGGGCGCCTTCCTTTCACCCCAACTCCTGCCTCAGCTCCCAGCACACACACAGAGTGGGCCCTCCATGCCGAGGAAGGCCCATGACCTGAAGCATCTGTCTGAGGGCTGTAGAGTGGGCCCAGCGGACCTCCCATACTCCTGACCTGTGTGCTGGGCCCACATGTGTATGTGCAGTGGACCTTCTCCCTTACTTGTGTGCACACCTGACATGGTCCTGACCCGTGTGCTCCAAGCCCACACTTGGTGCACAACTGACATGGTCCTGACCTATGTGCCCCAGCCTTATGCATGTGTACACCTGACACCTTCCTGTCTTGTGTGCCCCAGGCTCACGTGTGTGCACACCTGACACAGTCCTGACCTGTGCGCCCCGGGCCCAC